TATCATTGCATATAAAAATTCAGACTAGAAACTTTCATAATAAAAAACAAAACGCTTATATTACTAAAAATAGAAATTCTATTCATAAATATCTTAAAAAATTTAAATTTACTAATAATGAAATCCCTGTGCTTTTCCATAATAATAGATATGTAACGAAATCAATAGATAAGTCTGAAATTTTTGCTGATATTTTTCTTGAAAACTTTTCAAATACAAATACGCAATATAACCACGATATCAATGATAGCAATCAAATACCTGTTATTGAGGATATTGATTTTGACATAATTGATATTATCAATTTCATTAAAAAATTACCAAATAGAAATGGTACTTCACCTGACAATATAAATTATAAAATATTAAAGATAGCACTTCCGTCTATAGCTCCTGTTCTCTCTGAAATATTCAGAATATCACTAGATTCAGGTATATTACCAAAGATATGGAAAGAATCATTAATAATGCCACTATTCAAAAAAGGAGAAAAATCAAATCCTGAAAACTATAGACCCATTGCATTAACATGTTCCTTATGCAGAATTATGGAAATGGTTCTTAATAAATACATTGTTCAATTTCTACATGATAACAATCTATTTAGTAATGATCAATATGGATTTATAAAAAATAGATCTACTACAACACAGCTAATCGCTACATTAGAAGACTGGTATGATGCAATAATGGGAAAAAAGAATATTGACTGTGTATATATAGACTTCAAGAAAGCATTTGACTCAGTGCCACATGATCTTTTAATCAATAAATTATATAAAATAGGTATAAGAGGAAAGATTTTAACTTGGATTTCATCTTTTCTTACCAATAGAACTTTTAGAGTCAAAATAAACAACTCGTTATCCAAACCTAGAAATATCAAATCAGGTGTACCACAAGGATCTGTGTTAGGCCCATTATTATTTCTGATTTATATTAATGATTTACCTGATATAATCCCAAATGGTATAAAAATTAAACTTTTTGCTGATGATGTCAAAGTATATGTTATACACAAAACTAAAAATGAAAGAAGAATACTTACTGATGCTATCAAAAATATTGAACAATGGGCAACTAAATGGAAATTAAATATAGCTATTAATAAAACATATATCATTTATCTTGGTAAAACTAATCCTAAAGATCAATATAAAATTTTTGATACAACTATAAATGAAGTAGATTCTATACGCGATCTAGGCATCATAATTGATAATAAACTTAAATTTCAAGAACATGTACAAAAAATTATTAGGGCTGCTTATATAAAAATGAATTTTGTGTTTAAAATAATCAAATCAAAATCTATAAAAACATGGCTTACTATCTATAAAAGTTATATAAGACCCTTACTAGAATACTCTCCTGAAACATGGAATCCACAACTAAGATCCGAAATTAACAAACTTGAAAAATGTCAAAAATTCTTTACAAAATCTTTACTTAGAAAATGTTCATTACCATATATACCATATTTACAAAGATTAGAATTTCTTAACCTTCCTACTCTCGAAAACCGTCGTAAAACTTATGATCTCGTTTTAGCACATAGAATCCTACATGGATATACACATCTTAAATCAGACAATCTCTTTAAAATATCAAATAGGAAAAAATGTTATTTATTATCTAAAAATCAAAATTCTAAGTCATCGAACTCATTTGTTAATAGGGTAACTAAGATGTGGAATGTTTTACATGAAGAAATTAGGACTACAAAAATAACCCTTAGTTTTAAAAATAAAATAAAAGCAATACTTATTCAATAGATCTAAACAAATCTTTTTTATTGGTATAATCTAAGAATTTTTTTCATTTCTATGTTTTTTGTTTTTCTCTCTCGCATTCGTTCCTTTCACTATTAACTATAGTTAAATGACTACTATTTTGCATATTTGAACAAGGAAATTTCAAATTAATAATTAAAATTTATTGTTTGGCATTATGTTCAAAAATACATTTAATGACAATTTATCCTATTGTCTCTTACTCAACCATACAATTTTTCTTTTGATGACTCATTAAATTAAAAACATAGTTTTTCTTTTCTCTTAATTTTTATTTTTGCTCAATTTATCTCTTTTAAATCAAATTTGCTTTTTTTAAGGACTTTTGAAAAATTTAAAACAATTGGGTAATATTTTTTGACTAAAATGTCTAAGCGCAATTCTTCTGAATTTTCTCCATTAAATTTTGCAGCAAACATGACAAACAACGAAAAACGCAGCAAAATTGTTGAAGAAATCAATTCTTTAAATTTTGACAATTTAAAATAATTAAATCATTAAAATGGTCGGTACGGAGTATATTTATTTAAAGAATAAATCAAATATAATATCAAATTTGTGTTTTTTTATAATTTAAATTAGTATGACTTTATATGCTGTTTTTTATTTTTATTTTTATTATTTTTATTGTGCCACGCTACGACATTGTTGTCGAATTAAGTGGCACGCCCTTTCGATGACATTTTTTTTTGTTGATAAATAAATAAATAAATAAATAAATAAATAAATAAAAAGATCCTCGGATATTTATTTGATAATTTTGGGATTTCTAAGCTTTTCTCTTTGAACGCGGGTAGAGAATGGTTCGAAAAACCATTTGTTCCAAAAAGCACTGTAATTATTCGTACCTATGTACCTCTGGTAATTCCCCTCTCTCGATTAATTCCACAAGCTAGTGAAAGGTTGAACAATAATTCCCCCCCTCTCTTCTAGAATAATTTCCATTCCACAAATGTTTGAAATTCAATTCGTCAGAGGAATTAATAAGCCCCGGGGCTTATTTTTTTTGATCATAGAGAAAATACTGTATATGGATACTCTATTAAAAATGTCTTTTAAAATAGAGATTACTATTTTTTGAAAACAAATAAATTAAAATTTGGATAATTTCCGGCCATTAAAAATTATTTTTGTTTTTTAAAAAATAAAAGATTTTTGAATTAAAAATTTACAGTATTTAATATATTAGCATAAATTAAAAAGTAAACGAGATAATTGTTTTTTAAAAGTGTTCTGTTTTTTTTTGTTTTTATTTAAAAAATAAGGGGATAATGGCTATTAATATATATTTTTTATTTTTATTTTTAATATTTATGCCATTAAGGATTAGGAAAGAAAGAAAAAAATAAGAGCCAAAGATTTAAAAAAAATAAAAGTTTAAAAAGGAGTTTTAAGTTTATAATTGTGAAAAACAAAATATTATTAGAGCTAAAAGAAGAAAAGAGTAGAATAGAATAAATTATTTTAAATTGAAAGGGATTAAATTTTAAAATTTTGATAATAAAAACAAAAAAAGAATAATCTTTAATTTAAATAAAAATTAAAAAATAAAATAATGGCCGGCCTTTCTATTCTTCAATCACTTTCCAAAGGGCCATTCTATTAGAGGGGCCATTATATTTTTCGATGAGTGAATTTCTAAATTCAAATATTTTTTAACAGAACAAAAGATTTTAAGTATAAATAAGTGATCCTGCTACAAAAAAGCATTTTTTGGTATCGAATGAATTCAATGATGTCTGTCTTAATATCCTCTTAATCTCGCCTCATACCTTTAAATCCATCTGTTGTGCCCATAATTGCAGAAAGAACATAAATGAAAATTTTAAAAATTTCCAACCTAGCAAATTCAATCGTCTCAAGATTTAGAAAAATCGTTTGAAGTCGAATTCGAAGTGAATACTGCAAGGATGAAAGGTGTAATTCTTGAGAAACTAGCCTAAAGAGAGATGCTTATAAGCCGAAGGAAAATAGGGAAAAAGAGCGCTAAAGTATATCAAATATTTATTTTGGATAAAAATAAATTTAGATATTATACATATAGGATTTGACCAGTAAAAGCGATCAAAAGATCAAATATCCATCCACATATTTATTCAAATAAAAATCTTACAATATAAAAAAAATCTTTAAAATGAATAATAAGTGAAAAAAATAGCCCAAATAAGCTCATGACTAGAAAAAGTTTTGGACATCTGATATTCTCATAATTGATACCATTTTTTCTTCTCATATTTATCCAATAATCTGAAAAGGAAAAGAAAATTTTAAGATTAGAAATTCTAGGTAAATTAAATACTTTGCAGATCTGCTTTGAATATTCATTGCATTATGTTTTAACTTTTCGGTTGCATCAGAGACGGCATTTAAACGTTCACTGCGTTCTGCTAAATTCTGAAAAACAAAATAAAAGTTTCGGAAGTTATTCTAATTTTCTGAAAATTAGAGAATTCACAACAAAATACATATATAGAGAACTTAAACTCATAAAACTTTTAACAACATTTTAAACTTTAAGACTACTATTTTACCTGAATCGCTTCACGGGCAGCTTGTCCAGCAGTAACAGACCTAGATGTGCCTGTTTCAATACTACTTAATTGTTGTTGTTGAGGTGTTAGTAATGGCCGAGTAACTCCTCGAACTTGATTAGGGGCTGTTGTTGATGTTGGTTTTTCTGATACTTAAAAGGTATTATTAACGACAAAAATTGAAAATTAAAAAACTAACATAATGCATCCATTTCCTCCATTTGACTACATCCATTTCCAGCAACACCAGTAACTGCTGCAAGTGAATTGACAACGCCTCGCAGAAAAGAATGAACTTTTGGAGGTTCTGGCATATCACAAGGGACAAATAATTCTCCCATGCATTCTGCAACCTCAAAATTTATTTAAAAATTAATTTTAAAAAGATTGTGTTTTTGAATAAACCTGGGATGCAATCTCAGCGCTAACAGTGAATTTTTGTACCTAAAAAGTTGATAAATTTGTATTCGAATAATAAAAGTTAAATAAACCTCTGAATTTGAAACTAAATTCATTCCACATCCGTGTTCAGAAAAAGCAAAACGTTGACAAATTCTAAAATTTATTTATTAATAATTTATGTAGTTTTAATATAAAAACAACCGATCCTCAATACAATTAGAAGAAAGAGGCATCAATGAACAATTCAATAATTGTTTAAATGAAGGCAAACTCATCACAATAATCGAACCTAAAAAACAAAATTTATTATTTAAGAGTTCTCCTCTTAAAAAAATTACCGGTAACATTTAAAGCCAACAAAGCAGGTTGTCCACTAATGTGTGTAGTTGAAGCACAAATTAATGGATGTTGTTGCTGTTCTGAATCAGAAAAAGAGCGTTGAAAGACTCGATGATAGGAAGGTAAAGCAACTGCACAAACTTCAGAAGAAGTTACAAATATAGCCATCTATAGTTAATATTTTTAAATAAAAAGATTAATTTTAAAAAAATAAACTTGTAAAAATTCCTCTTCTTTGACTGCATTTGAGGTCAGTGTTTGTTGTGTTTCCATTTCTGTTTGGGTAGAAGTAGATGAAGGCACAGCTGATGATTGAATAGTTTTTGTTAGCACCTAAACAAAACATTCACAAATTAAATTTTAAAATATAAACAAAAAAAGAGAGAAAAAAAGAAGAAAAAATAAAGAAAGAACCCAAAAAGAAAAACTGAAAAAATTCCCCAAAACTTGCTTTTCTTTTAATTATTTCCCATTTTTTCTTTGCTTCTCCTTCCCCTCCTACTCTTTCTTTGCTTGCCTTATTTGAAGGTAATGATGATTGAAGATCATTTGGAGAATTAGAAGACTCATCATTTTTATTTAAATTTTCTTCTTGAAGATTTGAATTTAAAGAATTTGTTTCTGTTTTGGCATTTTTATTATTCGAGTTTTCACTGGGTGCCGCCAATAATCGAAAATCACGGTCCATAAAAGCAATACAAAGCAACTTGTTACTTTTCCCATTTGTGGATTTTGATAAACGAACAATTGATCCTTTGAATTAAAAATTGAATAAAATGAAATTTCTAAGGAGGGGTCTTTAATGAAAGCAAACAAAAAAACCAGTGAAAATAATTTTTACCAGAGGGCGCAACAACAACGTTTGAAGAAATTCTATTTGAAGGTAATTGAAGTTGAAAGGCTAATGCACTACCCATAGAAGTTCCAATCCAAAGACAAGGATCAAATTTAGTAACTACAAAAAATTATATATTTTTCTAAGCCTTATAAAAACAAACCTCCCTTTTTAGCACAACAATTAATAAATTGTAAAGAAGAAACAAATTCTTCCAAATATTTTTGATTTGTACATTTATCTAAAGATTCGGTGGAGGAAGAAGTAGATGGAACTTGAGAGTCAATACAGGGCTTTATATCACCTTTTTTTAATTAAAATAATTTTAAATAAAAATTTAATTTAATTAATTTATACCATTACAATTAATAAAAGTCGATTCTTGTTGTTGTTGAGTTGGATTTTCTAATCCAGTTTCTTCACAAGCAGCAGAAGCATTGAAGGTTGAAGCTTTAAGTAATTGTGGCCTTTGAAGTTTTGTTCCCAACAAAAACCGATTTGTGCTTTTTTCTGTATTATTTTCTATTCCAGACCCCCCAGTCGATTCTGTTGTATTTCCTTTAAAAAACATTTTATTTTTAATTTAAAAATTTAAAAATACCTCGAGAAAGAGGTCCAGGTGATTTAGGTACTGGCACTGAAGTAGGAGGAGTTTGTGTTGAAAATTGATGCTAAAAATTTAAAAAAATTAAAGAGAAGAAAAGTAAACTATTTAAAATATAAATTTAAAAAATGTTAATGAAAATTAATTAAACAGATAAACAAAAAGGTTAATAATGATATAAGGAAAAATTAAAATATAAAAAAAGGAAGCACAAGACAGCAACTAATAAAAAGGTAAAAAAATTTATTTGGTTTCTCACTTTTAGACGAGTACGTAAAGCTTTGGAAGAAAATGAAAAAGCTGAGGGAGAGGAGGTAGAAGAGGAATTTGGAGTTTTTAAAACTGAAGGTGATGATTCAGTAGTAATAGGTATTATGTTGTTATTATTTGGAGTTGAAGGTGTAGAAGATTGACGAAGAATCTAATGTATATAAAATAAGTGAAAGAAAAGAGATATAACAAAAAAAAAGAAAATTTTTGAGAAATAAAAATTCAGAAATGAGCAGAAATTAAAAAAACTCAAAAATAGTTTACATAATAATTAAGAAAAAAAAATAGAAATATAAAAAAAAGCTTTAAATATAGAAATATGTATGTACTTAATAATTTTGGCTAGAAACAGTTTGAAGAAATAAAAGAAATTAACTTTAATTTAAATTAAAAACCTCTACTCCCGGACAACTAGGCGACCCTGGTCCAGTAGCAACATCTTGACTAGTCAAGGAACTCCAAAAAGGAATTGGATCACGACCCAACAATTCAGAATTATGCCAAGCATAAATCTAAAGGTATAAAAAACCGAAATGTATTTCCAATGAAAAATTTAAAAAAAAACCAAAGAAGCTGTTTGTGAGTCAACAAGTGCCAAACCAACACAAGTACCAATAGCTAGTAGACCATAAGCTGAATTAAATGCCAATGCTGTTACCCGTTCAGGATTGTTTCCATTGATCCAAGGGATTTGGCAAACCAATTCTGGTTGATAACCTTAATTGAAATAGAAGTAGAAAACATTTATTAAATTTTAAAAAGAAAATACCTGCAGGTCTCCGCAAAGCACCTCCCCGAACTTTTAAAGGAGTTATTTCGGCAAGTTGTTGAGAACATATCGATGTATCTGTAGAATGTGATGATGAATTGCGGGATGGGCGTTGATGTTGTTGCGACTCGGATGCTGCTCCTTTAAATATTTATGTAAGATTTATTTAAAAAATAAAAGCAAAAAAACCTTGTCGTTTCAATTCAGCTCTACTAGATTGTTGTGCATCACTACTACTCCCTGATTGTTGATTCCATTTCTTTTTAGTATTTTGAGGTTGTTTTTCTTCATCTTTTAGATTACAAGGTGAGGGAGGGCATGAAGGTGGCGAAGGAATTTGAGCAGTAGAACGGCAAAGTTGAGGTAAGTTAATGACCTAATTAGTAATTTATTTAAAAAAATTTAAATTAACTAACAGCAATTTCTTGGCAACAATCAGTCTTAGAAAATCTAAAAAGTGTAATTTGTCCTGAACGACTAGCAACAATTAAAAGGCGAGAATCAAGACACATTTCAGCATTAAAAACAGCATGACTAGGAGAAATATTTTTCTGCTTTAGAAAGAAAATTAAAAATAAATAATATTTAAATTTATACTTTTAATCGAATATTATCTACAGCTCCACTTCCTTTACGTTTATTGATGGCTGCTGCTGTTCCTCTAGCAGTCGAATGGGAATAATGCGAAGGAATATTTTTTTCAAAGTGCCGCCCTGTTTTTAATTTGTACATAACCTAAACAAATTTTTAAAAATACTTTTTTAAAAAGAAAACATACTTGCAATTGTTCACTAGATGCTTGCCAAAATTTAATAGAACCTAAAAGTTATTTGGATTCGGCCATGTTTTGACAAAAAATATTACCATCTTCATGACCAGTAAGCACCATTTCTTGATGTCCAGTAGCACATTCTCGGCCAACCCCTCCTAAAAAAGAAAATTATCAAAAACTTATTTTTAACAAACCGCTAAATGGCCATTGCCTGTCGCTAAGACGAACGCCCTGCCTTCTTTGATTGCGTCCAACCAAAGTTAATGCAGCAATTAAATCAACAGGGCAATCAGAGTAATACCCAAAAATAAATATTGCTTGTTTTTATAAGTTAAAATCTTTCCCAACTTTAAAAGTGTCACCGGCGATTCGTGCAAATCCATAGGATGCGGCACCTCAAAACAAGGATACCTACAAAATTATCCTCAAATAATTATTTTTAAAATTAAAAATTCAAACCCTTGTGCTTGTATATCCACAACCAGAAGGTCATTTTTAAGGAGTACTGCAATTGCATGTGGATGCTGGGCAACTGATGCATGAGGAGAATTGTTGAGCGGAACCATTTCGACAATTGCGTGATCCATCTTTTTTTTAAAGTTTTTCTTACAAAAATTTATTTAAAAACCTCAAGAACAGTTAATGAGCCTTTTGCTCTGAGGACTGTAAGTGACGGAAGTGCTCCTTCATCCATTGGCATTCCTAAAAAGAAAATTTTTTTAATTCACAAAAATTTAAAAACCTCCAGCAAAAATAATTAATTGTTCTCCATCTGTGTTTGTATTCCAACTTAATTGTGTAATTGGTTTACAAGAAATATGTTGTGAGGGAAGTGTTGCTGATGCTCCCCCACTAGAACTTGGTGAACTACCTCCACCGGAAGATGCAATAGGGGAATGTGGAGTTGTTTTGTGAATAAGTTCACGAGGCTTTTTAATATTCCAAATTGAAAGAGAACCTTTTTAAAAAAACAAAATTTAAATAAAAATTACTTCTTTAATAACCATTTTGATGTCCACACATAAATTGCCTTCCATCACTATTCCAACAAAAAGCAGTCACAGGGCTAAGTTCAGTAGCAGCAGCAAAACGTTCTCCTGTTTTTGTCAAAATATTCCAAAGGACAACATGACCTTTTTCAAATCCAATTAATATTTTTGAAGGTTCTGTTGGGCAAGACTGAAAAAGAATTTTTTAAGTCTAAAAACATTAATAATTTACTTGTAATGTTTTAACATATCCTGGATGTGTACGACAACTCCTAAAAAAATTTAAAAATATTTTTAAATAACAAAAGACAATGTTTAAAACAATTTTTATCAATAAAAAACAGCTTACATATCAACAGCTTTGTTCCAATAAATTATTTGTGTAGATAACTCAAAAGTTCCCAAATTAATAAAATAAATATTTCCCTACAAAAAAATTAGTTAAAAATTAAAAACAAAATTTCCAAACCTTTTCTGTCCCAACCATTAACCATTTACTTTGAAAAGGTAAATATATTGTAGTAATACTTTCTTTTGACATTTTAAGTGAATGAACAATTTCTGGAGTTCTTTGCCTTTGAAAAAAATGTTAATCAAAAATATTTTTTACGAAAATACCTGTAATTCCATAAATGTAAAGTATCATCCCCCAAAGCCGTAATTAACCCTCCCTAAAATTATTTTGTAATTTTAATTTAAAATTAAAAAACCTCGTTAACGAGGAATTGAATGTGAGTGACAGGCTCATCAGAATCATGCTGTAAAAAATGTTCAACACCGGCCTGTCCCAGTAATCTAACACAACCCCGGGCAGCACCAATTGCACATAATTTCTGAACTGGATCAAAGGCCATACATCTGGGGCCGTCAGGAAAGCCGTGACGGATTATCTAAAAAAATTCATTTTACATCCTCTTTCAAAAAATAATTTTAACCTTGCTAAGCCTGCAATCGCTATCCTCAAGCTTTTCTCTAACCATTGAATGAATTTTGGCAATTATCGAAGCAGAAGACGAAGAAGGGCCTTCTTGCGAATCAGCATCTGTGAATTGTGCTCTTAGGCCATCAATTGCAGAAGCAAGACGTCTGCGAGCTCTTTCCATTATTTCTTAGAAAAATTTTTTATTTAAATTTAATTGAAAAGCTTTTAAGGTTAAAAGAATGATTAAAAATTGAGGAAAATTTTTTAAAATTAAAAATTCTAAAAAACTTTTTTAATTTAAAAGTCGTTTCCGGCGTGTTGCTATTTTTTATTCTATTGGCCATAAAGAGACTTACAATTAAATGTCCCAAATTGAACGTTTTCTTAGCCAATTTTCTTTTATAAAAATTTTTGTTAAAAGGTTTTTGTTGTTGGAAGGTTGACAATAAAAAAAAGTAAAGAAATCACTGTTTTGTTTTCAAAAGCTTTTTTTGCTTTGTCCTCTAGAGAAGTTAACTACCTAAAAGAAAAAAATATATATATATATAAAAATTTAAGGCATTAAAATGTCAAAGTAAATGAAAAAAAAACTTTAACTACTTTAAAAGAAAAATCTAAAAATACAATCCATTCCTTTCCAATTTTTTACATTTATTAATTAGCAAAAAAGGGAGGAATTTCCCACAAGGTGAGATATGTACATAAACGTTTGACGTAATAAAAACAAAAATAAAATTTTTAAATTTAAGAAAAGTTAAGAAATTTTTTTGGTGCCGAGAGTTTGGCAGTGGTGAATATTGGGGAATGAGTGACTTCGGTAAAAACAATTTTCAAGCTCCGAATTCCGGAACCGACTCCGTAATTTTTTTCGATTTCTTCGCGTTAAAATTTTTAAATAATAAATTTCGTCAAAATGTTTACTTTTAAAATAAACTTTTAAAGCTAATTTAAAAAATGAGAATTTTCTAATAAAATTTAATAAATAAAAATGTTGGTGAAATTTAAAAGTTGGTGAAGCAATGGAGAAAAAACATTTTTGGGGGGAAGAAAGCGGCCCTGGAACAGTGATATTATTCTCTTCTCCATTACACAATGCAATTTAGCTTTTCCTCAAGTGCACAAATATAGAGAGGAGGGGGGAAGGGGGATTGGGGGGAAGGGGGGGATTGGGGGGAAGCGTTCCGTAAGTCTAAATACTCTAGGGAAATAAACAAATGAAGAAAGAATATAGAAAAAAGGGATTAAAGTAAAAAATTTTTCACTATAATTTGCCTTTGATTCCCGCCACGTTGTTTTTAAAGGTTTAGGTAATTTAAATTATGAAAAAAATTCTGGGGAATATTTTTGAAATTAAATAGTTAAATACAAAAAAAAAGTGTGTGTGAATAGGATAACAATAACCAAAAAGAAATGAAGAAAAATAATAATAAAAAGGGGGAAGTTTTTGGAATAAACATCTGTCAAGATATTTGGAATTGTTGACGATAATAATAATTCTAAGAAAATACAAAGGAGGAAGAAAGAAAGAAAAAATAAAAGGACAAAATAATCTTTTATAAAATATTCTAATTGTTACACGAGGAATGGGAGGGACTCTCTTCTACCGAATTTCGAATTAAATTTTTTTTCTAATTTCGAATTAAACGGTTATTTTCGCTTATGTAGAATAACACGTAAAAGCATACATAATTCTCGCCTCTTTTTAATAAAAAAAATAAATATATTTCTCGTTTATCTTTTTCTCTATTTTTGTAAGCATGATACACAAATATATTTATCTCTTAATGTGCTTTTGGCACACATTTGGGGGTAAATTACTATATTTATTTATTTCCTTTTTTTTACTAATTGATTTTTATTCTCGAGAAATATGGATTCTCAAATAATAATTACTTCATTTTATTTTAATTTTAAATAAGTAAAAGCAAAAAAGAAAGACAGAAAAGAATAAAAATTTGGTATAATTTAATACAAAATTGAATAAAAAAATGTTTCTTAAATAGAAAAAATAAAATTTATGCAAAAAATATGTAAAATGCCAATTATGGATCTCAAAAAGGATAAAAAAATGCTTAATAAATGATTGAATAAAAAGACCAAAAAACTATGAATATAGAAAAGAATTAGGGACGAAATCGCACATTTGCATGCCTGTCTCTAAATTTATTTGAGAACCTTTGGATATTTTTGTCGAATTTAAAAAAAAAAAATATGCCTTTTTAGGAAAATTAAAATAAAATAAGAAACCAAAAAAAATCAAAATTTGGAAGGAAATTAGCATAAAGAGTTTACTAAAATAAATAACTTTTTTTTTTCTTAATTTCTTCCCCGAATTCCTAATATTCTTTTTTCGAATATATATTTGAATAAATTAAGAGTATATTTGAAAAAAGGGATGAGGGGATAAAAGTGTAGACAGACTAACAAATTCGAAACAATTTAACAAATCCGGGCCCTTGTAATAATATTGACATTTTTAAACATTATTTTATCAATTTTTTGTTCAAATGGATGAATTATTTAAAATAGCATTATGCATGGAAAATAAAAAGAAAAAAATGAGTGGATGGAAATGAGTCCCTTTAGAGAGCATTCCATTGTTTTTTTTAACTTTTTGTTGACTTTCCCCTTTTATGTTGAAAAGTGTGCTTCTTCCCCGAATTCCTAATATTCTTTTTTCGAATATATATTTGAATAAATTAAGAGTATATTTGAAAAAAGGGATGAGGGGATAAAAGTGTATTAGGTTAAAAATGTCAATATTTAATAAATTAGAATAAAAAAGCAGACAAAATTTTGGAAGTTTTTGAACATCTAAATAAATATATCTGCTCAAAATAAAAATGTTTAGAAAAAGCGCCAATAAAAAAATTGTGTAAAAAAAATAAAATTGGTTGGTGGTTAGAAAATGAATGAACGGTAACAGAATCGGCGTGTCAATAGCCAAAAAACGTAAAATAGGGCCAAAAGACTGCAGCCATAGCCGGAAAGGGAATGGAGAGAAAAGAGAGAGAAGGAAGGGAAGAAAGTGATGCTATAAGCAATGAAATTGGCAAATATATTTTTTGTGATAAATGGAAAATAGTCGGCACATTTTGGCCCCCAATAAATACACCACCGACAATATTTAATAGTATAACCCTCTAAGGCAATAGAAAATTGGGGAGGTGGAAATGCGGAATGGAGAGATATTAATAGGGGACTACCAAAAACGAGAAATGCTCAATATAAGAAAAACCTATAAAATAACCAAAAAAACTTTTTAAAAAACCAACCTTAAATCACTACCAAATAACTGTTCTCATATTATTTTGTAAATAATTGAATTATTTTTCTTTAACCTTTAACCATTAATATCATTAATTGGTACTATAAAATTTAATAAAGTACTTGAATATCTTAAATAATAAAACAAAAATTCAAAATCAAATAAAATTATTATAGAAAAATTAAATTAATTAATCAAACGAAAAAAACTCCTTTTTTGACATTTATCTATTAATTTAAATAAACAAATTATTAACTAAATGAATTAATTGACTAGAATTGTTTCTTTTTGGTGCTAAATAAGTATGTTTTTAAATGAGGAAAAATATATTTTGAAAAAATAATAGAATATATTGCTTGTTACAGAAAATAAAGTGTCAATAAATGCGAATATATAATTGTGTGGAAAATGCCGAAAATGTTTGGAATGTAAGACAAAAAACAAAATATTTATTATGTCCTTTTTTAGAAAATTTTTAAAATTGTCTTTAAAATTTTAAATCGATTAATTTCAAAGGACATATTAAACAGTAAATTTTTAAAAGATCAATGCCAGGTTTATAAAAGAATGTTTGTAGGGCTGTGATTTCTAATAAAATTTAAAATGAAAACCACTCTTGTTTGAGAACAAGGACTGCAAAAGAAATACTTCTACATAATCACATCCCTAATTAAGAATTTAAATGTTGAATAAAGGGATTTAAGGATTTTCAAGACTAGCAATTTTTAGAAAAAAACTGAAAACTAGGAGAAAATTTTCTACACTTGTTAGTCAATTTCAACCTAAAAATCAGCAATTGCATTGTTGAGAAGCTGGTTTCTGTGCTCCACTTGTCGAGTTTAACCGCAACTAATTTTAAAAAATATTTTAAAATATAAAGACAAAACCAACATTTCCTTGAGCCTGTTGATTTTGTTGTTGGTTTTGATCAAGGCTCTCAGCCATTTTATTGCAAATTATCTAAAGAAATTAAAAAATATTTTAAACTTTAAAATATAACAAAAACTAACCTCAACTAATTTCTCAAACACAGGCTTTACATTAATATTTTCCTTAGCTGAAGCCTCAAAAAATTCGAGACCTACAAATTATTTCTAAAATTAATTTTCTAAAATTAATGAGTTAACCAAGTTGGTCAGCTAGCTGTCGACCTCTTTCAATGGACACAACACGTTCGTCGTCCATATCGCATTTATTGCCAACAAGCACAACTTGCGCATTTTCCCAACTGTAAGTTTTTATTTGTGTGCACCAATCTTGGACTGAATTGAAAGATCTGAGAAAAAAAATTTTTTTTAATTTTATTTTAAAAAATAATATTAAAAAACTCACTCTTCATTTGTAATATCATACCTGAAAATAAAAAATGTACATAATAATTTCATAATGTATATAAACATACATAAGTATGAAACCCATTGCACCACGGTAATAAGCAGTTGTAATCGTCCGGTAGCGTTCCTGACCAGCAGTGTCCTAATAAAATAAAATGTGTATAGGAAAATTCTTTTAAAATCTAAAATACCCAAATTTGAAGTTTGACACGTTTATCACCACGAAAGACGGTTTTCACTTTGAAATCAATTCCAACTGTTGAAACGAACGCAGAAGTAAATGAGTCGTCGCAGTAGCGGAAAAGAAATGATGTTTTCCCCACCGAAGAATTACTAAAAATAACAAAAATCATTTTCAAAAAGATTAATAAAATACCCTATAATAAGCAGCTTAAACATATAATCAAAGTTCTGGTCACTACTGGTAGTTGTCCCGCCAGCACTTGTTCCACCTGAACTTGCTGATGTTGCATTAGTAGCAGCAGAATTATAAGTAGTCGAGTGGTGGGCCATAACTGTTAGTTAGTTAGTCTACTAAAAAGAAGAAAAATTTTAAGTTTTTGTGATATTTTAACGATAAAAATTAGAAAAAGGTGGGGGTATTTATTAAAACAGCTCATGAAAAATTCCCCTCATTTTTCATCCATTGAATATTTAAAAATCTATAAAAATTGACGATATTTCACGTCAAATGCACAAAATAGATATAGAAAGGGTAAATTGAGGAAATGAGACGAGAAAGCAATGAGAGAGAAAAGCCGCCACACTGTGGATGTCAGTAAAAACAGTTTGGCAGGCTTTTTCTAATTACCCAAATTAGATTATTGGGAAAATCAAAAAATAACGGAAAAGAATTTTAAACTAATCTTAGAAATAAACTTTTTGATATTTCACAAATTTTAGTGAAGTTTTAAGGATTTCCAGTTATTGCTTAAATATCGAACATCGCCGTATCCTTTTTATGCCACCCGAATAAAATAACTAGTATGTGTGTATTTCTTTGCAACTATTGGGTAACAATCTCGTCAATCTTTTATTGACATAGTGCCGCCCTTGAGAACGAGAAAATTCATTCAGTTAGTTTATGCCAATATTCACAAAGTGTGAGTTTTTTATGGACCGACACAAAGACAACACAAGAATAGAATGCGTGCGGACTCCTAGCCTTTGCCATTTTTTCAAACAAAAATAGAGGTACGCATGAAATAAGTTAAAGCACGGCAATGCAGTCTTAAAATGGCGCAAACAGAGGAAGCATGGAGAAAAATTATCGATTTATTTTATTAATTTTGAATGACGTGGTACACACGTTTTAAAGAGAAAATTTAATCAGAAAAGAAAACTTTTCAAGTCTAAAATCAAAAAAAAACCATTGAAACCCCTAAATGAGTGGTTAAAAGGTACATTAAAAACTCTTTATTGAATACCATCCAGTGATGGGTAATATTGAACCTGACAGACCCATTTTTTCCTCCCCAAGTTTTTTCCTAAATATCTACAAAATGGTCAGACTTTTCTTTCAACCATCCCAATTGCCTTATTGTTACATTTTTTAATTGAGAAGTCTTTCACAGCTCTCATATTTGTTAAATAGTGTTGTAACCCATCCTCAAAAGTCGGGGAATTTGAGATATTTTTTGAACACCTACCTCCCATGGCCTTTCAAAATCGAAGTCTTGTAACACCAAAAGCTTAAAAACTTAACGTGTAATACTAAGAGCTCTATTAAAGTTAAAATACTAACCTGTAACCAAATTCCACTCTTGAAATCGTTTTTTCAATTAGACATTTATGGGTCGTAAATTTTCAAATGTTTTCGTCATTAATATTAGCAGCATCGCAGTACTCCTTAACTACATAATAAAATAATTTATGAGAAAATGTATGGAAACAATGTATGGAAAACAAAAGATCCATTAAATCTACTAATTAAACACAATTCAATTTTATTTATAGACAACATATAGATAGTAGATAACGTATATATAGTATTTAAATAAGCTTAAAAAACAATTCCAAAACTGTAGGAAAAAAAGATTGACAATGAGGGGCAGTAAGCATAAAATTGAAGTGACCTAAATCTGAAAGAATTTTATAAGATAATCATAGATAAAAGAATATTAGTGATTTCTTTACTATAAATAAAATATTCTTTCTTAAAAACTCTTAAAAATTGCTATTTTTCATCAAGTACGTTTATTTAAATTAAACGATAAAAAGTAACTGTTTTTTAATAAATCAACCATTATTAATTCAACAAAAAATATATAAAGAAAGCACGTAATATATAAATAAAGCAAAAAAGGTAAATACTAATCTTATATTTATTTCCCATTTTTAAATTGGAACTTGATATCCAGCACTAGATTCTCGCACTTTGAAGTGCTTAATATAATCATCGACTAAGCGGCGTGTATTCTTCTGGACTTGAATATTAAATAAAAGCTCCTTGTTTCCTTCTTGACTATCCAAAACTTTGTGTGTGATCTGGGGTTAAATATTTTGTTTAAAAAAAAGATTAGTATAAATAACCTTGCGCAAGAAGCCACTATACTCGTTTGGATTGGGGAAGAAACGCTAAAATTGAAAATAATATATACGAACCACCGTATGAAAACCTTGCGATATGCTTCGATACATTTTGCAACCAACGCAGACACCTGGCGTTTGAACTCGGCTCTACGGTGTTGTAAAAGTAGTGGATTTTGCAATGAATCTTCATTGTTTGCAACAACAGCATTGAGATCAATCAATTCTTCACCTGGAGGCAAATCCCAACGAGCTTCCCTAAATTAATTAAATGAAATTTTAGAAAATCTAGAAAAATCAGAAAATAACCTTGTATCTTTATGATAGTAGTATGGAGTTCCTGAAATTAAAAAAGTATATAATAGACAAAAATAGGTAATCTCCATCTGTATAAGCTTCACTAACGAGATAAAATTAAAAATTGAAATTTAGTGCTTATGACTAGGGCTAGGATTTTAGGCAAAATGCCTGTTTTTTTCCTAAATAGGCCTGATGCTGAAACGTCCAAATCAGGTGTTATTTTACTAAAATCTTCTTCCTAACTAATTTTATCGTTGCCTAAAATTGCCTATTTTGGCTTATTTTTCAAAAAAATTTTTTTTGAAAATTTTTTTGTCAAAAAATTTTTATTTTAAAAATTTATTCAAATTATTTTCGGAAGCAAAATAATTGATATAAATTAATTTATATTCGCAATTCTTATCGTCAAAATTAATTTATATAACAGTTTATTGCTTAAATTCAACCATTTTTATAGATTTTAGTCTATATTTTTTCAGATCTAGCTCAAATTTTAAGAAATTTTGTATATTTTGCTTGCCTATTTTGCCTTTTTTCGAAATAAGGTGCCTATTTTGGCAGTTTTTTAGTGCCTATATAGGCGCCTATTTTTGACTTTTTAGTGCCTAAAAATCCTAGCCCTACTTATGACAGATGTCTAGTTAATAACTATCTAGATAGGAAAAAGATAAAAAAAAGGACCATCAGTATCTTTAGCAACAAGCCAAATGCCACTTTTCGTTACTAATTGGCCAGTTGCCGATGGATTTGCAGAAGAAGATGTAGTTGTTGAAGGATTGTCTGACGTAGAAGCATGATTAGCTTCAGATACTGGCACTTCTGTTTTAGTCATTGTAATTGAATCAGCAGTTTGAACAACATTACCAGCATTATGTTCAACGCTAACGGGATTTGCCAAATTTTGTTCATCACGATTTATCAAAGCATTTGAAGACGACGGAATTGTTGTCACATTTGAAAGAGATAATTGATGCTGAGGAACGGCTAAAATTGAGATAGAAAAAGGAATTTGCATTCATCAAATTTTCAAATAAAAATATAATGATAAATACAACTTACAATATTCAGACTGTCCACCAGAGGTATTGTTTTTCATTGCATTTAAAGTTAGTTCACGATTGGAAATTCGTGGATCTTCAGGTGGTGTATTTGAATGTGAAGGTTGATTGCCACTCGAAGTAGCAGAAAACTGTTCTTGATGTTGTTGTAATTGCTGGGCAATATTCCTCGAAATATTTTCTTGGCGAGGTTGCAAAACAATCGGTGGATTATTGCCATTACTGGTAGGATTGTTCGAAACTGTACCAGTTCCAATTCGAGCCCGTTTGGCGACAGGAATATTGGAAGAAGAACAAGCTGCGTCCTCTTAAATAGAAAATTACATGAATTTAAGAAAATCTTAAAATACGATTTTGGTCGTTAGAATGAGTACGCTTCTTTGCTTGCAATGTTGTGGTAGATGTTGATGTATTTTTCACTTTAATTGCTACAGGTAATTGTGAAGAATGCTTGTTTTGGAGATTGGCAAGTTGCTGGCCTTGTTGAACAGCAAGTAAAGTATTCGCTCCCAGACCTAATGGGAGTGGAGGAGGACCGTGCATATCTCTTCGCATCGTTTCCATAAAATAAACAAACTGAAATATCAGAAGAATCTAGACAAAAATAAGTTAAAAATAGAACCTCTTTCAATTGATGAATATATGCATCCAATTTTGGTGGATCTTGAAGAATGCTAACACTGATTTGCGGAGGTTGCATCATATCAGTAGAATCTAATTCATCACTCGATTCTAGCTCCATATCGGCAGCACTTGATTTTTGTTGCTCAGGATCACTTGCAATCTGAAGCGGCAGGAAATGGCCTTTTGAAGAGTATACAGGAACATCAATTTCCTTTTCGGTTGTTATATTTTCAGTTTTGATAGAACGAATAGTTGGTGCGATGGAGAACGGCGGCAAATGTTGTTGCATGACATTCATAGGATTCTTAATGAAAATAAAAATATGTAAATAAAAATAAAAAAAACCTTATCTAGAGCAAGAGAATCTTTTCCTTTGCCAGAGGCTAAAAGTGTTTTTGTTTTCGTTTCGACCTCTGCCAGAATAGAACTAGAAGTGGTGAGACTGTCACTTGATGTGCTACTTGTTGATATTGTCGAAGAAGAATCATCATCATCTGATGACTGCAAACTGTCTTCGTCATTGGATAGACGGCGCTTGCGCTCAATTGTCTTCTTTTTGCTAGACGTCCTTAAAAAGATTTTTTATTCACAGGATTAGACAATAAAAGTTACTCATTTGTCGGTGGTTGAACAATTGTTTTTAATTTTTCCGCAATGGTGTTAATTTCTGCTTTCCTTGTTCCGTCCACTTTTTCACGTTCATTGTCAGCCTAAAATATTAAAAAGAAATTTGTTAATTGTAAAAACTTTATTTTGTTGTTGTTAAACTACCTTTTTAACAGGTTGCGCTTTGATCCCCGCAGAGTCTCCACGCTTCAATCTATCTCTTTCTTCATGTACAGATCTTTTGCGTTGCTCACAATTAGAATCGCCATCCACTTTTCCGTCCTAAAATTGCAATCAAAATTACTTCGTTAAAGAAGTTGATCCGATTTTTGAATGAGACAATTATACAAAAATAAAATTATTGAAAGAATACCGTATTAGTTCGTTCAGGACTAATATCATAAGAACGCTTCCTTCCACCATTAAACCTTCGTCTGTCATTAAATGACTGGCGTCTTCCACGACAATAATTTTGATTACCATTTCCAAAACGACGCCCGCGTCCATGAAATCGCTCATCTCTTTGTGTTCGCCTTTCACCTCTGTTAGAAAAATATTGCGATCGTCTCTCACCACTTCGTCTTCGTTCTCGCATTTCTCGTTCATTTTGATAATGCGAACGACGTCCTTCACGTGAGGGACTACGGCTTTTGGAATTAGTCCTGAAAAACATCAAATTTTAATGAAATGGAATTTTTGTAAAGAAAAACTTGCCTTGATGAAGTCGTGCTAAAAGTTCTCTTCGAAGATGACGTTTTAGCAGCTTCAGAATGTTTCGAATCACTTTGTTTCATTTCATTACCGGTTCGCGATGAATTTTTATCCCCTTCGCCATCCGGCCAATGACTTTGAGAAGCCTTTAAATATTAATGATTATTCCCCTTTTCAAAAATTATTTCACACCTTTTGACCCAATGCCGCTCGCAACGATTTCAAACGCCGTTGAAGCATTTCCGCTTGCACTTCTTTTGAAGATTTTTTGTATCGTTCACTCGCCCTCTTTGCTGGTTCTATTGTTTGTTTCTCTACCTCTTCCTTTTCAACTGTCGAAATGTTAACTTTTTCATCCAACAATTCTTCTTTTATATTAAAATCTTGCGCTTTATCGGTATCAACATCATCTTTATTATATTCAGGTGAACACACGGCCATTATCAAATCGGGAATGCGCGTATTTTCCATCTTATTGTCCACTTTTACAATAGCGTCTTTTGTTTTATTTTTCCCTGTTAAAAAAATAAATTGTATCATTTGTAATAGGAAAATCAGCTAAAATAAGGAGAGAGAAGAGAAAATAATGTAGAGATGTTGAATACTACGAGATTTAGAGAAGACACGACAATTAGGCCAAAAGCTATCATTGACCTTATGCCAAATACTATAATAATTCGGTATTAAACAAAGAGCAGAAACAACTACATATAAAAACAGCCTTATAAAGTAATCTTTATTTTTCTTTCCGTAAGTCTGTCTTTAATAATCGCATGCAAACAAAAAAAGAAAAGCTAATTAAAAAGTGGTCAAATAAGTATGCAAATTATTGCCAATACAGATTTCATTTGAACAACCGCTTACCTTTCTTCTTTATTGGCCCAATGTTTATAAGTTTATTGATTGGTTGTATTTCTTTTGATTTATTATCAGGTATAAATGGTGCTGCAATGGGGGAGGCATTACTTGTAATCGGTGGAAGGAATCCAGACTTTGACGGTGTTGGTATAGCAGAAATTAATGTTGTTTTGCTGTTATTATCTTCATCCTTTTGTTGATCGGTTGTAAATGACGGACATGGGGATGTCGTACTTCGAGTCAATAATTGGTCACCGCCACTAGGCATCTGTGTAGTAGATGTATTTGCAGATTGAGAAGGTGGGGGTGGAGGTGGCAACGTTGTCTGTGATGATGTTTGAGGTAACAAATTTTGAGTGCTCGCAGGTGCTATAAAGGATTCGAAATTTTTAAATAAATTTTTGACGATATTTTCTTACTTGGACGTGCTGGAGGTGGAGGAGGTGGCAATATAGCAGTTTGTTGTTGCTGTGGGGGAGGTGGTGGGAGCGGCAACGGAAACTGAGCCGGTGGTGGAGGTGGACCAGAAATTGCGAACAATGCAGCAGCGACCTGCGCAGGATGTGGAAGATGACTAGGTGGAATAAATTGAGGTGGCATCCCGCCAACGCTCATAGCAAAATAAGGATTTGAAAATATATCCTGAAATAATATAAATTTCAAAAATATTAATTGATGAACCGGTCCAGGTCCAAATGTTTGAAATCGATGAAATTTTTTCCATTCTTCAAATTGCCGTTTTTCTTCATCTTCTAAATAATCTTCACCTCCATGATCATTTTGTCTGTTACATTGATTAAAATTCTTTTGCGGAGGAACGAAATTGTTGTTATTTTGAGGGCAGTTGATAAATTTACGATAATGATTCTGAAATCGTTGATAACGACAGTTTGGTGGCTGTTGATGAAGTGGTGGTTTTAAAACGGGACCAATTTCCATTTTGTTTGATGGTGGAAAACGATCAAAACTTCGATTATTAACGGATTTGTGTCCAGAGTCAGATGATCTTACACTGTCTGATCTTTGTCGATGTCTTTCATGTTTAGGGCGAGATTTGCTAAAATTTAAAAAAATCAAAAACGGTATTTGATTTTATTAATTTAAAGAATGTTATTCGGTTGGGCTATAAAAACTTGCGTTTTTTATCAGACTTATATTAAAATAAATTCCAAAATTTTGAAAATTTTAGACGGGTACGACAAAGGATTTTTTGGGAAAAAATTAATTTTCCGCTAGAGCTAAAAAATTGCTTACTGATGTGAGTCAGAGGTATTCTAGAACCTCTAAAATGAGAATAAATACAGAACTTTGGAAAATCCTCTCGTTAAATTATAGAGGAGATCCATGGCTAAAGTAAGTAATAAATAATAAAGCATAAAAATTGTCCAATATTTTACTGTACGCCTGCCTGATAAAAACGCAAATTTTATGACCCAACCGAATACAAAATTTAATAAAAGAACAAACCTCTCCTCTCTCGAAGAAGATTCTTTAATGCTCTCGACCAACTTTTTGGGGATTTTGAAACCCCAATCAACAAGTTTTCCCCACTTATCAGCTAATTGTGCAGCCAATCCTTTAAGTGATTCAACTTCACGTGCAAGCGTTTGAGCCTGTCCTAATTTGCTAGAAGATGCTGACACTTGATTATTAATTCCATCAACATCAGCAACAACTTCATCAACAATACTTGCAAGTTTTTCTTTTATAATAAGTCTGTCAGGCAATTCCTTAATTTAAATAATTAACAGAAAATTGAAAAACTAGAAAATACAAAAATTAGCATTTGTTTCAATGTGCTCATTATACAAACTTCATCGACTTGATTTTTGTTTGTAACTGGAAGGCGCATAAGAAGGCGCGCCTGAAAATAGAAAATTTTCTTAATAAAAAAGGCAAAAAAATACAATTTGAGATTGAAGTTGCAAAGCACGACGTTCAAATGACGGTAGAACAAACCAAATCCGAATAAGTGCAAATCCTTGATTCGCAACAAATAAACGCAAAATGTTTGGATCATCAATTCGCAAAAGAAAATCGACCATTCGACGTCTAGATTCCATTTGGTCAACACGAACCATTAATCTAAAATTAGATTATTTTAAAAAAAATAATAGCATATTTATTAAACCTATTAAATTCAAGCACTTGATCACGATTCCTCAATGGACCTCGAAGCATTATTTCATTAACTTCAGACTGTTCTCGAATTGTTGTATCGCCAGAAACAAAAGATCTTTGATGATGTTTATGATGATGTTTTCCATGTCCCTTTAGACGAGCAATGGTTGAACGATTAATATCCAAAAATGATGAAAAAGCAGAAGGGTACTTTCGAGGTCTACCACGCTTTTTAGACAACTAAATATTTTTATTTTTAGAATTTAACAAAATTTAATAGACAAACCCCAGTCGTAGAAATTGCAAAATCAATTTTTGAATCACTTGATGATATTTTTACCTCACTAATACCAACACCTTCAATTATTTTTTCTTCCTCGTCAGTAGAAGAAATAGAGTCAAGAGAAGTATCAGACTCCTCACCATTTTCATTTTCTTCATTGCTGTCAACGCCACTATCTTCTTTTGTGCCACCAATAAATCCAGTACATTTTGAAGACTCACAAAAACATTTTTGGGCTTTTTTACTAAAAATTATATTTTTTAAGTAAATTACAAATTTTTATTTAAAAATAAATTCAAACCCGTAACGTTCAAATTGATAGTTAAATGTAACTTCTTCACCCGCACGTATTGTTCGAATAGCAAAAAAGCCTATAAAATGACTTTTATAAAAAAATTAAAACTCTTTATCAAAACAGCAAATTATTTGTGACATATTTTTAAATAAACGGCTCTGATTTAGGACATGAATGTTCATTTAAGCTTTTTGATTTTTAAAGCTGATTTCAGATCCTAAATTTTTTGTTTTAGGGCCTATGGGGAAAACATTCGTTAGCTTATTTGGCTTATTTATATAAATTACGGGCTCGATTTATGTTAGCCAACTAAATTTACCTATACGAAGCTGCCGGCCAACTGTCCATTTTTGAGTTGCTGCATTTGGTTCACAACTATGATTAATAAATCTAGCATCATTTCCACAAACTGTCGCATCAATAAGTGTTCCATTTCGCAATGCCATCAAATAATGATGTTTATGGTTTGGATCTTTACCATAGCGCCGAATTCGTCTAAGAACTTCTTTGGTGTCAACAATTTCACCCATATATTCAATTATGAATCGACCGCTAAAATTAGAATTTTGACGAAATTGCAAAAACAACTTACGGTGGAATATCAGTTTTTGTTCGCAATCCCCACCCTTTTGGGCCAGTAAAGAAAACTTCCAATCCTGCATATTCCCTCTTAAATAAAAATTTTTTAATTTAAATTTTTAAAAGATAAACATTTTGGAAGCGTTTATTTGTACAATATTTGCCAGAACGGCATTCATCTCCACATTCCATTAACAAAAGTCGATTCAAGCATTCTTCACCGCAAGCCATTCCTCTCTTCTTTTCTTTGCTAGAAGGGTTACATTCACATTGAAGTGACTTACATTCCCTACTTTCAGCATCCGGACAAAGCATTAAATTCTCTTCAATCTAAAAATTTAATTTAAAAATTTTTGTTATCAAAAATTTCAAACTTTCTTGTATTCAGGAAAAGCAGGCCATTCATTTCGCGGGACCTGATCCTCGTCAAGAGCTAACACATCAACTTCAACATCTTCTTTCGATTCATCCGCTATTTTTTCTTCTTTCAATTCATCAGATATTTTTGCTGAAACATCAGCAACGTCTTGACTTTGTGGTTCATCATTAGTTGCAGAAGATAATATGTTTGTAAGGCTTACTTCATCTGTATGAACATTTACGCAAATTTCTTCCTTCTTAGATTCACCAATTAAGTCTTCTTCCTTCATAGATTCTTCAATTAAGTCCTCCGTTGTAGTTTCAAGAACATTATCCGCGCATTGACTTTCCTCAATTGGTTTCTCCATTATAGTTAGCGGAACATTATCCACCACACACTGATTTTTTAGTCCGCCAGCTTCAGAAGAGGATAAGTTTAAAAGGCTTGTCTCACGTTGAATAACATCCATAGGTTCTTCAATCTGTTCCTCCACTGTCATTTCCATGGTATTAACCGTGCAATGATTTTCTGGTTCATCAACTGCAGAAGAGGATATGTTTGTGGAGCTTTCTTCGAGTCTAGGAGCATCCTTATCGTCATTCTTAGCTTCTTCAATCAGCTCCCCAACTGTGGGTACTGGAGAATTCACCGCTAAGGTACTTTCTTGTTCATCATTTGCCGAAGTTGTTATATTTATAAGGCTTGCTTCACGTCTACGAACATTTTTGGCTTCTTTTGTAGAAGCAATTGTTGCCTTACGCGTTAGTGATGCAGAAATATTTTCAGCAGCCTTCTTCTTGGAATTTCTCACTGCTCTCCCCCTGCTATTTGTTTCAACATTTTCAGGCTCTTTCTTGTCCTTTAAATTGAAAAAAATCTTTAAAAATAAAAATCTAATCAAGAATAAACCTCTTCAACAACAGGCACCCAAACCCATGTTTTACGCTTTCTTTTATCCTAAATTTGAAAGGTATTAAATGTACATATTAAGTAAACAAAAAACCTCTTTAAGCGGTAATTTAGTCTCTGTAGGTGTTTGTAAGTCAGATGAGTTTGAAGTTCCTTCATTAAAGCTTGCATTTATCTCGACCGGTTTTGGATTCTTTTTACGCATTTTTTAATAAATTACTAAAAAATGATTTTTATAGGTTGGTTATATTTACGAGATAAAATATTGGTATAACAATAAATTACAAACGTTTTTTTAAAAGATTTATGTAGCTATATAAACACATACACACTATATCTAAACCACCTATACCCCATAAATGTAAAAAACCTGAAATTTAGAATCAGAAGCATCAGTAAACTTATCATAAACTTAATTTACTAGACTAGCTAAAATAATCAATAAGACACAAGGAGAAAATTTTCCTAGTAAAAGTATACACAATTTGGTAAAAATAGTGAAAAGGTAAACGAAGAAAAAGAATTTAGAATGTCACATTCTTACCAGTATTTTTAAATAATTAGGGAGGTCCTTAACTTATATTTATTACCCCCCCCCCTCGCCCCTTAATTGTCTATTAAACGTCAAGCAATTATTGATTGGTGTATCACAGTCAGCATTTGCATCAATTCCTTAAAATTCAATTAATTAATCTGAAGCTTTTGATTAAAAATAACAAAATATATATTTGAATAATAACAAATAAGTAGATAAAATAATTTTAAAAATGTGTACAGATTGCAAGATCAACAAAAAAATATAAAAATACAAGAAACTCTCATAAAAACACGTCATCCTGCATTATTCCCCAAATCAATATTCGTCTTTGTATCATCATCTTTTGACAATAAAACTTTTTTAGTAGAAAGCCTCGTATCTGAAACTGCCACGAATTCCATCTTTGACTTATCTACTGCAAATTTTTCAAAAAAATTATTTGAATGAATTTTTCCAAGTATTTACTTGCATCACTGTTTATTGAGAATATCATGTCTGTTCCTAATGTTTCAGTCCATTCGCCAGAGTAAAAGGATGAACCAACCTATAACAAAAATGGAATAAATTTGGGTACTTTGTTCATATACTACCCCACCCCTCCCACCATCATTTGAGTCTTACAATTAGTTTAATTTTCCTTTTATTCAAGTTTCCTAATTAATAATTTTTGCCGTTAGGCCCCAAACGGCATGAGTGCCTAAACTAATCTTAACAATAAATTCTACGTTAATTTTTGGCAGCCAGTGCTTGACACCCAGAAGTTAGAAGAACGATACTTAAAATTAAAAACCTGAACCAAAGGTGTTTCTGTGTCTGCTTCACGAACTCGAATTGCTCCGTTTTGAGCGGCCCTCTTCACGGCTTCATAGTCAAGTACTCCACGTAATTGTAACAACATAACTTTTTCTTCATATTTATCCTGATTTACACTAACTGAACTAGCAGACTGGGCCTTATCCTTCATATAAGCAATTTTCCTTAAAAAATATTTAGACAAGTTTTTGATAATTTGTAAAATATATTCTTGGATTCTCCTCTAAATTGACCATAAACATCTTCAAAAAAATTTTTTTTTTCGAAAAACAATTAATTTTTTATAAATATTCTCTTCTTCTTATCAATTAATTTCATATTTGAAGAAAACCATTCTTTAGTATATATTTGTAATGCTGGAACACCCTCACTAATAACAACATCTGGCCATTTAAGAACTTCACCAAGGGAATGCACATTCGGTAATATTTCACGAACAATTGGATTCTGTCCATCTTTAGATTTTAATGACATACATAAAAGAACATTTGAAGCACTAAATTTTTTTATTTAAAAAGAGAAAAATTTATTTAAACCGAAATTTATGTTCCTCTTTATCCCATTCAGCAGGCTGTTCAAAAACTTCATAAAGTACGTCACCAAAAAGTTCATCATCAGGGCATTCACGAATAAAATCAGTTTGGCAATACTCCGGGTACAAAATAACTAGCGGAAAAACATGTTGTTGGTCGGTAGATGAACTAATATTCTGCAAAAATTTAAATTAAAAAACATTTAAGATCATAAGTTTGCAACCTTTTGATATGTGACATCATCTCTAATCGAAACCTTGTGACTATTAGATTGTTTATCATATTTTAACGCCTAAAAAGGATATAAAAAATATCAAACAAATTTATATTTCTCTTCCCGACTCCTGAAAACGAAGCTTGTAAAATTCTAAAAACAAACTAAATATTCCACATTAACCTTTTTTAATTCACAAGAATAACCTGTAACGCCTGAATTTCGGCTGAATATTCGCCATCCGGGCCAATTTTAAGTTCCTTAACGAATGCAGGATGTTGATCGACCTCCTTACACCATTCAGAAAAATTGAAAGGCGCTCCTCCACGAGATTTCTCCTTTTAATAAAATATTAAAACTCTAGAAAATGTTTCAAAATTAAACCTTTTTGGCGGCAAAATCTTGCATGAACCTGAAAGAGAAAAATTAAAATATATGGGCACTTTTGTAAAGATAGGAGTAGCCCGGAATTTCTTTGAAAATTAAACCTGTAATTTTACTACAAGCAATGAAATGCTTAAAGTTTAAAATAAAATTAAAAATTACTTGTCCAAATCCTCATCAAGTTTCTTCGCCAAGTCCTCCATCGAGTTCAAAATATTTAAAAACAAAAACAAAATTTGCATTTTAAATTACTTTTATTTTAAAATAATTGTTCAATTTGTAATTTAATTGCAAACAAAAATTTAAAAAATTTTTATCATATACTTTAATGATAAAAACATACATTTTACGTTATAAACTAAACAGAAGAGTTTATTTATTTTTGAACTAATTAAATCTCCTTCAGAACAAATAAACCCTTCTTCAAAATAAATATGTAAATTTTTTAGTAGTTAATGTTACAATGTTAGAGAAAAAAATAAGGCTGTTAAGGTTACTAGTGATCGGAAGTTTAACTGAATTGGGAATCTCTGCTAAATAAACTAAAAATATTCTGGGATAATTGAACAGTCCGATACCTAGTTTACATATCACTTTACAAGGATTGAAGAATGGGGAGCAAATTAATGTTGGTAAACTAAAGTAAGGTAGGACACAAACCGGTTATTAACCGTACCCTCGGTTTTCGGTTTTGGCCGGTTTAAGAACCCCGATTTTCTGTTTCCGTTCGGTTCACCGATTGTCCTAGCCTACGGTAAAAATACAAAGCGGCCCATTCTTCAAATGACACCGAAGGACAGGAAAGAAGTTTTGCAATCTGTGGTTAGTTTTACATACCGAACATCAGAAAAATTGATAAAATATATATAAAGATTTCTCGACTCTTTTGCGTTTCCGTTCCAAACAGAGTGCTAAACTTTGTCGCATCCAATGACTAGAAGACATCGCCAGGTGGTGGAGGTTGATTGTTATCGTTAGATGACGAAACGGAAGGTTTGCCCTCTGACTGTTCTTCAGTATTACTCCCTCCAGAACGCATCGAAGCCGGTCGCATAAAGAACATCCTAAAAATTTGTTTGGGTATTTTAATTTATCACTAAGTGTAAGCATACATCATTGCAAACAATCCCCAAGCCATAGCAATTAACATCATATTTGAACCGGCACACGAAGGATCTCCGGTACCCGTTGTGCATTCCGTGTCGGTGCAATCGGTCTGGGAGTCGCGAAGCTAAAAATTTTTTGATTAAAATAAAAATAGATTTAAGACTAACAATTGAAAGAATTCGACGCATCAAAGATTCGTGATTGAAAAAACATTCACAGGGATCCATTGCCTTGAATTTTCCTGATCGGAATTGGATTTAAATGAAAATCTCTAAAAAATGGAATTTAAAAAAAGAAATTAAACTCTTAAAAGTTTAGAAAAATAACATTCAAAAAATTAAAAATAACAGAAATTCACCACCTAATTTACAATTAAAAAGCTGTCAATTGAAGTAACACCTAATAGGGAGTTAATGCTTATCAGATGTAAAAATGAAGGGCTTATTGCCATAAATACACGTCGCTCAATTGATTAAACTACACGCATAACCATTCGTTACACTGACAACACTCTCCCTCTCTCCTGTTAAAGTTAACTCTCTCTTGTCCTCTTTCTCTACTTAAATTTACATTTTTAATGAAAGAACGCCAAGAAAATGCCAAAAAGGCGCAAACTTAACAAACTATTTGTTGCACAACTTACATTAAATTTGACAGCCAAAATTTTGTTTTAACAATCTCGACTTCAAAGGATTTTAATGGAAACTAAAAAACGTTTACCAGCTTGAACTCGGAATTAACAAAATATTTAAAAAAGATCATTAGGTAAAACACAATACACGTAGTAAATATTAAAATTTTTATCAAAATAATTTTTATAATAAATTTAAACGTGAAGATAGATTCATTTCTTTGGAAACCTTCCAGTAACTTTAAAGTGTCGTCCTCCATCCCATTTCCTTTTTTTATTCGAATTTTCAAAAGTTTTCTTTCCAGCATTTTCAAAATTTCCTTTCCTTTTTCTTTCAGTTGATGAATAAGCTGGTTTCTCATCCTCCTCGCTTATCTGTCCTTCCTCAGTAGAATCACTAAAAATAATAAACACAAAAAATTTTACTTTCCCCCACACAAACCTTCCATCTGCATTTTCTTCGTCATCGCTGTTCTTCGGATCCAAGTCAGGCAAGCAAAGTCTTCTGCGTTCGTGAAACTCCATCAATTTCTTTAATGTTTAAGTAGAAGCACTTGTCGGCACTATACAAAGTGAAAGGCGCCTTTCACTTCATATAGTGCCCACTCGTCTAAATCATATAAAAATTATACCTCAACCTCCGGATTTTGTCCTTTAAAAGAGAAGCGCCCAAATCTCATATTTTCCAAAACTGTATAGCGCCACTCGCTCATAACACCACCAAGCGTCCTAAAATAATAAAGTTTTTAATGTTTAACAAATTTCCAAACCAATTCGGGTCATCGTCGATGTGCTCAGCGGTTGGATAATATTTTGGAGGATCTACTGCCATTATACCAGTAAATATATCTTCACGAGCTTTTTGTTGCTGTTGAGCCCTCTGCTGTTTTTCCAAGCGAACTGTAGTTCGTTTCATGAACTAAAATTAAAATATTGAAGGTAAAAGTACTTATCTTTCCCAACTTACATTCATTCGCAAAACTTCCGTTGATATTTTCTCCACAACTTCAGTACTCTTATTTCCTTTGTCGACCGTCATAATTTCAACCATAAATTTAAAAAAAAACTAAAATTTTAGCATACAAAAATTATACAAAAAATATATAACAAATCCGTTTCTACAGATTAAAAAGATTTAAAAAATAGAATAAAATATTTATTTTTAGCTTGTTTATGTACAAATTAAAATTAAGAATTCAAAAAGAAATTTACTAAAAATTAAATAACATTCCCTCCAAATAACGCCCTTTCTAATTCATCTACATCATTACTTAGCTCCTTGTTAATGTCCTTTTGTTGGTTTTTCTGTTGTTTTTTCTGTTGGTCAGACATTAATTGACTTTCATTCCTTTGCTGCTTTTCATGTTCCTCCTTCATTTGTTGCATCATTTTAGCCCCTTCCCTTCTCAATTCTTCAATTAAGGAATCCCTAGTTTCTGCTTTCCTTTTTTCGCCTGCTCTTGCCGCCGCAGCATTTTTTTCAGCCTAAAAATAAATAAAAAAATTTTTAAAATTAAAAAACAAAAAAAAACCTCGCGAAGTTTTGTCAAATGTGCAAGTCTTTCCTTCGAGCTCGTTGCTTGCCTAGTTTCTTCAAATTCCGCTCTTTTCCGTTTTGCTGCGATTTGTTCGTCATAATCCCCCCGTGCAATCTCGTCTTTGAGGAATTCAAATGCCCGATAAATTTTCAAAAACATTTGTTGAGCACGTTCTTTTTGGTCTGGATTCTTGTCTGGATGCCATTTTAATGCCATTTTCTTGTAGGCTTTGTCGACTTGAGACGATGTACATCCAGATTGAAGTTGAAGTACTTTATAAGGATCAAAGTCGATAGTCTTTTTTTGAGTAGACATATTTAAAAATCTGAAATTTATGAAATTTTGGTCTCGATTTCTTCAAACTAAAATTAAATTAAAAACAAGCCCAAAACATAAAATTTATCAGGAAAATAAAAAAAAATTATTAAAAAATTAACTCTAAAACGGCTACTTTGAAACGTCCTTTACCAAAAACTTTGGGAGGGACACGCCCTCCTTGTCGCGGGCCACCTTGTCGCGACCACCTTGTCGCGACCACTTTGTCGCAGGCCACCTTGTCGCAGGCCCACCTTGTCGCAGGCCCACCTTGTCGCAAGGGGTGAAAATTTTTTTGCTGATATGGAGAGTAGGAAAAAGGCATTCTGGGCACAATCGGGGTTTTCTGGAGTAATCTGGTTCGGTTTTACTCTGTCAAAACCTCCGGAAGAATTTACCCGGATAAGAGAAAATAATAAAAGGGAAAAAACACTCAAAAACTTAATCAAAAAATTTTTAAAAAAGCCATTGTCGCGCTTCACTAATTAAATTTGTGACCCTAAGCAGGGCAGTTTGGGTTTGTTTTTCTTGTCAATGTTCTCTAATTTAAACATCTTCGTTCCTTCAGAAACTTCGAAATTGAAAATCGCCAGTCAGAAACTGACGGAAATCAACTAAAAAATTGAAAAAAAAACTTAAAAAACAAGATAAAAATTCCAAACCTTTCTAATTTTCCCATCGTTGTAGCCGTGGCATGAAGTATGGCACATGGCGAGCAAAGTTTGGGCCAACCTTAAAAGAAAAACCAAAGGAAAGCTTGCGACAAAGTGGCCCGCGACAAGGTGGGCCTGCGACAAGATGGCCTGCGACAAAGTGGTCGCGACAAGGTGGTCGCGACAAGGTGGCCCGCGACAAGGTGGGCCGTACCCACTTTGGGAATATCAAAACGGTCAAAATAAAAATATCACATCAAAAAACTTTTTTTATTTACATTAACAACTTTTAGGTTTTAAAAATGGAAAATTCCGGCGAACTTGTATTCCACGAGGAAGTTGAAATTGGAGAATTCGAGTTTGACCAAGAAACTAAAATTTATACATACCCGTGCCCATGTGGTGACAGGTAAAAATTAATTTAATTTGACCAAATATATTCCCTTTATTTAGATTTGAAATTACAAAGGAACAATTGGAAGCTGGTGATGATGTCGCAGTCTGTCCAAGCTGTTCATTAATGGGTAATTTATTTTTTTGTTAATCTTATTGTCAATTTTAAAGTTCGCGTCATTTACGACCTTGCGAAATTTCGAGAGTCAAATTATGTCAATGACGCCGTCTCTGTTGGCGCTAATTGATTTTAAGGGATGAGAAGTCCTGTAATGGAAGTAAACCATTTAAAGTTATGTATTTTTAAAAAATATTTTGTTTTCGGTGAATAAAAATTGAAAAATTCAAGGCAAAGTACAATTAAATAGAAAAAAAATAAATACAAAATTTACAATATTTTTTGAACTTTAATTTTTTGCAAACGTTCAGTAAAGCTCTTTTTGTCAACTTAATTAGACAACTCACAATTTATCTAGTTGCAAATTGTCTTTGTGTTTCTCCCGATTTTAGTCGTTGTCCACCTTATAAATTAATAAATATCCGTTTAAATAAAAATTAAAATGCTAATCTGCCCTTAGAAGTCTCGGTAATTTTGATATAATCCTATTTAAAAATTTACTCTATCTAATGACAAAAATCAGTCATAAAAATTTATCCACGCCGTTGTTGCTAGTTCAAAATAATAATAACCTGAAATGGAGATTGGAGGCGGTGTTCTGGTGCTTTGAGGAATTTTTACTCCACGTTTTATGGAAGGTGAATGCCACAACATAGCTATCTTTTGTGAATTATTTGAAGGAGAGGGGAGCTTGTCACTTTTTCCTTCATCGTAATCAAGCAAAGTTAAAGGCGATCTGTTGATGATTCTGCATTGAGGGTGTTGCAATGTACCTTTGACGCAGGAGATGGCTAAATTTGAAAATATAAAAATAAGGGTTTTTTGAGAATATTAATTTACTACAAAGTGGCAAAACAGAAGAATTGTTACTGTCAAATCCACAACTACTGTTTCCTGTGCTTCCATTAGTCGAAATGCCAGAACGAAGAATCTATTAAATATTTTTTTGTTTTTAAAGAACCACTCCGATTACCTCATTCAAATAATCCCGGAAGCATAAGGAAATATTTAACTGCCAAAAATTGAAGAGAAAGAAAACAATCAGTATAGCAAAAATGAGAGCACAATGTGGATAATATGGGGATATATTCGGGTACATGTCTAAAAGAGAAAATGTGTGAACTTTTTAAACGTTTAAATTCCTTACTGTCAAATGCCCAATTCAAAACCTAAATTTAAAAAATTAGAATAAAGTTTGGGGGTAAAAGTTTTCATTCTCCAAGTATTTCCCTTTATATGTACAGAATGGTCTTCCTCAATTCAATCTTCAGGGTTCATAAAAGGTATGGGACACTTTTTATTCCAGAACTTTTCTCATTAACTTTTTTAAATATTTCTAACTCATTTTGTAGCCCCTTTTTGTTGTAGGCCCCTCTTTCAGAGCTTATAAGCCCAGTTCTATTATTTAAACTTTTTCTAACAGATTAATGAGGGCCTTAAAACTCGATTTACCCAAACCAAATAAATGTACTAACCATTATAATGTAAAGTGGTTTGTAAATAAAGAAAAATAGAAAGACAATAGTTGCATATGCATCCAAAAATAAGTGAAAGAACTAAAAAAAATCCTTTTATTTTCGAATCATATAAAATTTTATAAAATACCGAAATTCCTATGATCGGCCAAAGGAAAGAGGGTTTATGCCTGAATATGGCAATAGATGACAAAACAACCACACCTGAAAATTCAACGGATTATTTACAAATCGTAACAAGAAATACCAAAAGGGACGATCATCACACAGAGAGCACGCCTAAACCAAATAGCCTCAAGAATGCATAAAACGACAGTTAAAACCAGGCCAAAGCTCACCAAAAATTTCATTCCGTTCTAATTAAATAATTTTTAAATATTTAAATAATTAAATTAACGGTTAAATGTAAAAGTCCAAAAAGACAAAAGTGTTGGTGGTGGAATCGCTCAGTTCCTCCTCCTTTGCATCTGACAAGTGAGGAATCGCGGGTTTTTGTTAACTAAAAAATTAGAAAAAGCTTGAATAAAACAACAAAAATTACCCCTTTAGCATCCAACAATTCTCCATTAACCCCCTCAGTTCTAGTACATCTACAAGTTTGCATTTAAGCTACCTCTCACTTATGCTTTTCCTCCACAATTTAAATTTCTAATAGGAAATGTGGAGTTTTCGTGAATAAATCTCCAATTCTTTTTTTTTAATTTTCGATTAATTTATTGCTGTTATACATATTTGCATAAAGATAATTAATTAATATCTAATTATAAATTTTTACAATTGTAACTAGAGGCATTTTTGCCGATAGAATAAGCCAACAGAAATAGTCAGGCTTTTTGATTGACTACGCTTCTAAGGCTTTTTCAAATTTTCCTTTCATTCTTCGACTATTTTTTATGAAGATATACAAAATAAGATAAGAAAAAAACTTGATCTCATCTCAAAACATGTGTAATCCCCCCAATTTTTAGGCAATTCATCAGAAAAAGGCGGGAATGTTTTCTTCTTCTTTTTTATTGTTCTTATTAGATATAAATGAGCAGCTAAAAACTCTCCTATACACGCAATTCCTTTCGCGATAAAAGACAAAACTTTGTATATTTGGAGATTTTGCGCGCTGATTAAAAGCAACCATTAAAATCCCCAGATCAAAAAATTAAAAAGGATGTTAAAAATATATGGGAAAAATTAAAATTTAAATAAAAATTCTTAAATATTTTTTATGGAAAATGAACAGAAAAAATAAAAATCCTCCAAAAAATGATCGACATCAAAAAAGAAAGTGAAAGCGCGCATTTAACTAGTGTAAGGCGCCAATGTGTGCAAATGAAGGAGAAAAAGAAAAGGATGAAAACGAATTGGAGCGAATAAACTATCTCCCCCAATGCAGACGAAAGAGGCAATTACTTATCCTCATTTGGTACGGATCTATTAAGAATAAGGATATATATACATATATCCACTCTGTGCTTTTTTTGAACGATTCTTTACAAGCAATGAAAGGATTTTAGTTCGTTTTAATTGATTTTTGAATCTGTTTGGTTGTGAAAGAGAATAGGCTTAATTGTAAAGAAAAAAGGAAAAAATGAGAATATGTATGAAAATTTAAAATGTCAAAAATTAATTTAGAATCTTAATTAAACCGACCCTTATACAAGAGGAATTTTGGTACTTAAAAGGAATTTTCCACAAAAGATAAAAGAATCCCCCATTAAACAATTAAAATACCAATTTCAAAAATATTTTTCACCAATTTTTTATATCAACACTAAACAACAAATAACAAAATTAAACCAACATTATCGATCCATTTTCCCAATCATTTAAAATAAACTTTTAGTGTTTCCAACTTATCAATAAAGACGCTGTGGCGGCCCCATTGTAGACTTGATGTGAAGCGAGCGAACATTCTGCCAGTTCTTCTTCAGCAAAGAGACAAGAAAATTTATTCCGAGAGAAATGTTTGAAACTAATTCTTCTTGAGTCATCTCAACATGTCCAATTGCTACAGCCAAGCAGATAACCTTTAAAAAACAATTCTTTATTTAACATTTATTCACAAAAACCTTTTTCATCTGAAATTTAACGGTTGCCTTAATCTCATCAACTTTAACTGTCAAATTATCGTTATGCGTCACCACAGACGGGAATTTTCCAGCTTTGTTAAGTCCAGGACCAAGAATACGAGGAATCTGCCTAAAATTAAAAACTAATTTTTACTAGGAAAAAAACAAACTTGATAAGAGATTCCGAGGCCAGGAAAGCGTTATAACGCTTACAAAGTCCTTTAATAAGTTTCGCATCCTTATTCAGCTTTTTCAAATCATCAGCCGTCATACAAGGAAGACTAAAAATTTACTTTATACAAAACCTTCTTAACAAAAGCAAACCCATTAGCGTTAGCCTCATCGCAGTGCTTCTGATCACCAAGAATACAAACCTTTACATGCGGGCGTGGAATGTATTTGAGTCTAACCAATAAGAAATTAAAGAAACTCTATTGTTATTAAAAACCTGACAGTTCCACTAAAACGCTTATCCTTCTTTGGATCATAATTTTTCAGTCCAATCTGAAGCTCTACAGTCTCTCGAAACTTACGCTTCTTTTCTGTTGACTTCTTCAAAAGCTCAGCAACACACTCGTTAAGAGTTTCACGAGAGATTTTGCTACTTCCAGACATCTCAGTAAATATTTAATTCTAAAATGATAGCAATTAAAGAGTAAAAACAAATCATTAAATATCAATTAACGTGTAAAATCAATAACATATTTGCAAAATACAAAAATTTAAACAAATTTATCAAAGGAATCATAAATTACATAGGTTATGTGAATTAGAATCACAGAGAGCACTTCAATTAAAATTGAAGGTCCAAACTTTCTTTAGAACATAAATATTATAAAAGAAACCCCCCACAGTTAATTTCATTATTTGATCTACAATTAATGTGAAAAAACTAAAAATTTCAATAATTGTAGATCTAATATAAAATTAAAAAGAAAACCGGTATGAAATATAAAATTAGAAACTACAATTTTTCTTTTGAATTTAATACACCTCAAATACTCATTCACATCGCTCAAGTCATCGGATACCTGTAAAAATTTAAATAAAAAGATTCCAAATGAAAAACAACTGACAATTTACATTTATTGTTTGCGAGGCTGAAATTGGCGATGACATTGCATTTTGGCAGCATTGCTGCGATTCGAAGCGTGTATTTCATGAGAGGGATGCGGCTTCTCATGAAAAGCCCGTATAGCCTCTGGTGGAAAGTCGCGATTGGTCTAAAAACGGGAATAAAAATTAAAGATCGGTTAAAACTTGTTCAGCTAAATCGGTATAAGCAAGAACGTTGGTAGCTTGACGTTTGTTAGCTTCATCAGAAAGACGTGACTCTTCCGAAGCATTAGATTCGGTTGGTGACCCAGACTTTTCGGCAGACATTTCCTTCTCATCGGATAGATTACGCTCTTTGCGCGCAATTCGGATTCCACCAGAAATTTTTTCGGCTGGTGGATGGCCTCCTTTAAGTTGGGGTACTTCAGTTTCAATGGTTGTCATATTATAAGTACTCTAATCTAAAAAAATGATCATTGTATTAATTGGATTTTTTGTAATCCAATTAAATAAAACAAAGTTTAAAATATTATTTGATTGCTAAAAAGAGTAATGAACTCTATATAGTAAAACGCTGATTGTGAGTGAGAATTATTGATAGATGCCTCGCGTGCGTTAAAAAACTAATAAAATAACGTGGCTAGGGTCCAAGCCAAAAGAGTCTGAAAGTTTTGTTTCTTTATTCGTCAAATCAACGTAATTGAACAGGATTTGGACTAAAGCAATCCTATTGGAGTCGACGAGATGCTTGTACAAAACCCTGCTCATCGCGCAGGGGTTTTGTCTGTATCTTGGCCCCAAAGTTAAGACCGGGGGTTGAATTGTCATTCAACTCTGCTCGGCGAGCTCTTTGACATATCGCTTGTCCGAATCGGTTCCGCGACATATGGCGGAATTTTTCCCTGCTTTAATTAATTGTTGCAGCGCTGTATAATTTAAATTAAATTGAAATAACAAAAAAATATAAGTAAATTAATGTATTAAAAACCAATAATTAATTTTAAAAATTAAAACAATAAATTAAGTGTTCTTATCCGGCTCAATGGGTGATATTAAAGTAAAAAATTGTTGAAAATAAAAAAATAAAAATACATATTAAAAACATGGCAGAAAATTAAGGGATTGCGTGAAAATATTCTTCATTGCTCACTCAGAGCTTACATTAGAAAAAAAAGTTTTTAAAGGGAAAAGAGGTAAAAAAACATTTAACATGTCTACATAATTCAACATTTCTTTTTATCAAAATTAAGGTTCTTAGCTCCTTCAATTGTTTTGCCCATTGTCGATAATAAATTATATCCAGGTGGTTCAGGTGCTTCTGCCTCATAAGTATTTCCTTGGTTTCTTTTAATTCCTGTAGTGTCTTCAACGAGATATTCTCTAAGTTTCCAAAGTGCCCGAACAATTTCATCTTCTTTATAACTTGAACCATTTGAAGAGTGCTAAAAAAGACAAAAATTGGAAAAGAATTGAATTTAAGACTAAAAAGCAAACCCTAATCCAATCATAAGGCAACCGTTTATGTTCTGGCACAACAGTATTTCTTGCCGAGGCAGTTAAAGTCTTGTCCCATTTGCTTACATTACGCTGGTGCCTGCCAGCTCCCGAATTATGGATTGACTCGAGATACCTTAAATCTGGTTTACAATGGAATCGAACGCCAAAATTACCTAATATATGCTTCAGAGTGAACAACTCGCCGCACCTGAACAGACGTCGAAGGAGAAACGAACGTTGGTTCCGACAATGCTTGCTGCTTTGATGTCGTGGAAATAATAGACCTTCCAGGATCCGTATTTTGAATTTCAGAAGGAAATGCAAGCGAAGTAGAGGATGTATCAGCCAAACGATGTTGGTTGACTGAAGAGGCAGGAGACTGATCGTAATGAGTATAATGTTGGGGACTCTGATAACTTTGTATAACATTTGTTGTTACATTCTGCACTGCAGAACCAGACGAGGATTGTATAGGAGGCGGTGTTGACGATAAACCTTAAAAATGATAAAAAGTCAAACAATTCTTCATCATAATTATTAGTACCTTGGTTATATTGTTGAAAAGCAGGAGGATTGGACGAGGAATGAGAGGGCACAGTCGAATGAAGAGTCGGACTATGAAGATATTTCTGTTGAATAGACGTTACATTTGTATTTGAATAAGACTGGGTGCTACTAGCTGGCTGAGCTATTTGTTGTGTATAATGTTGTTGTTGAGTTGATTGGGTGTGCACCACAATCTGATGTTGTTGTTGTGGTCCAGTGTACCCAGGAGGAAGAATAATCGTTTGGGCATTGCTTGGAATATAAACAGTGACGCCATTCACAATAATTGCTTGTTGGCCTGGCGGTATATACTAAAAAAAGATGAACAAAAATTGATATGGGGCAAAATTTTTAATTTATACATACCACTGTTTGCTGGGTTATATTTTGTTGTTGATTCGAAGTCTGCTGATTTCGCTGATTTTGAGATTGTTGTTGTATA